ACGGGGGGAAAATGGGAAAAACGGGGTGGAAATGGGAAAAACGGGGTGGAAATGGGAAAAACAGGGTGGAAATGGGAAAAACGGGGTGGAAATGGGAAAAATGGGGGGAAAATGGGAAAAACGGGGTGGAAATGGGAAAAACGGGGGGAAACGGGAAAAACGGGGGAAAATGGGAAAAACGGGGGGGAAATGGGAAAAACAGGGGGGAAACGGGAAAAACGGGGGGAAAATGGGAAAAACGGGGTGGAAATGGGAAAAACGGGGTGGAAACGGGAAAAACAGGGTGGAAATGGGATAAATGGGGTGAAAACGAGAAAAAATGGGGTGAAAATGGGAAAAACGGGGTGGAAATGGGATAAAAACGGGGTGGAAGTGGGGAAAATGGGGGGAAAATGGGAAAAACGGGGTGGAAATGGGAAAAAAATGGGATAAAAATGGGGTGGATATGGGAAAAACGGGGTGAAAATGGGATAAATGGGGTGAAAATGGGATAAATGGTGTAAAAACGGGATAAATGGGGTAAAAACGGGATAAATGGGGTAAAAATGGGAAAAATGGGAAAAATGGGGTAAAAATGGGGTAAATGGGATATAAATGGGATAAATGGAATAAAAATTGGACAAAAATGGATAAAAACAGGATAAAAATGGGATAAGTGGGATAAATATGGGATCAAAATGGGATAAGTGGGATAAATATGAGATAAAACGGGATAAAAATGGGATATATTGGATAAAAAGAGGATAAGTGGGATATAAATGGGATAAGCGGGATAAAAATTGGATAAAAATGGGATAAATGGGATATAAATGGGATAAAAACGGGATAAAAACGAGATAAAAATGAGATAAAAATGGGATAAAAATGAGATAAAAATGAGATAAAAATGGGATAAAAATGACATAAAAATGTGACAAAAACGGCAAATAAACGGGAAATAAACGGCGTAGAAAGAACGCGACCCCCTAAACCGCGGGATTTGCGTTTCCCGGGATGTTCCCCATCCCGATCCCATCCTTTTACCCGTAGGAATGCCCGACCAGGATGTTCCTTTTCTTGGCGTAGCGCTTGAACACCACCCTCATGTCCTCGGCCAAGGCGTAGAAGGTGTAGGCGGCGGCCACGGGTGGCGCCGAGCTGCAGCCGTGCCCCGCCAAATCCGGCGCCACCACCTCGTATCCCAGCTTGGAAAAGAATTCCAGCTGCTCCTTCCAGATGTCCAAGGAGCCGCCCACGCCGTGGATGAAGAAGATCACCACGTCGCCGTGCGCGCCCTTGCAGCCAGTGATGCGCTTCTCGCAATCCACCGTCACCACCTTCTTGGGTTTGCGCTTCCGACGCTTCCCGGGCGTCGCCGCCGGGATCCCGGAGGGATCCGAGTTTTCCTGCTCGGCGTTGGGATCGGGGTTTTGGGGAGCGGCGTCGGGGAGGTTCTCGATCAGGAGTTGCCCGTTGCGGTAGAGCGTGATGCGGCGCTTGCAGCGCACGGCGCCGCGCTCGGCCGGTTCCTCCGGTTCCGGAGGGAATTCCGGGCGGTTGGGAACGTCGTGGCGGATCCGGAGGATTCGGCCGGGTTTCACCTCCAGGAAGGTGAAGCCGTCGCTGGATTCAACGCTGTCCAGGGGGGCCACGGCGTTGGGGGTCTTGCCCAGGAGGCAGCAGAGGAAGCCGTCGGTGATGCTGGTCAGCATGGTGATCCCTGGGGAAGGAGGGAAAAGTGGGAAAAGGTGGGAAAAAGTGGGAAAAAAATGGGAAAAATGGGGGAAATTGCATGGGAAAAATGGGGGGAAAAGTGGGGAAAATGGGGGAAAAGGTGGGAAAAAGGTGGGGAAAATGGGGGAAATTGCATGGGGAAAATGGGGGAAAAAGTGGGAAAAATGGGAGGAAAAGGTGGGAAAAATGGGAGGAGAGGTGGTAAAAATGTGTGGGAAAATGTGGGGGGAAATGGGGGAAAGGTGGGGAAAATGGGGGGAAAAGTGGGAAAAAGTGGGAAAAAGTGGGAAAAATGGGGGGAGAGATGGGAAAAAGTGGGAAAAATGGGGGGAGAGATGGGGAAAATGGGGAAAAAGTGGGAAAAGGTGGGAAAAACAGGGGAAAGGTGGGAAAAATGGGGGGAAAGGTGGGAAAAAATGTGTGGAAAAACATGGGAAAAATGTGCGGGAAATGTGGGGGAAAAAGGGAGAAAATGTGGGAAAACACGTGGGAAAACGTGAGGGAAAATATGGAAAAAATGTGGATAAACATGGGAAAACTTGGGAAAAACATGGGAAAACTTGGGAAAACGTGGACAAATGTGGAGAAACACGGAAAATCTGTGGAAAACAGGGATTCAGCCCCGATTCCAGCAGCTGGATCCGCCCAGGTTGGAGATCCTGGTGGATATCCAAAGAAACCCTCCTGGAATTACGGAATTAAGGCTGGAAAATCCCTCTGGAATTGCAAAATCCAACCTCTCTGGCACTTCCAGGGATAAATCCTGGCGGGAATTGGAGATTCCGGGGATCCAGCTCCATCCCAGGCCTGGTTCCCGGGGTCGGGAAGTGAAGGATTCCCGGATTCCCGGATTCCCAGATTACTGGATTCCCAGATTCTTGGGTTCCTGGATTCCCAGATTTCCAGATTCCCGGATTCACAGATTCCCAGATTCCCAGATTCTTGGGTTCCCGGATTCCTGGATTCCCGGTTTCTGGATTCCCAGATTCACAGATTCCCGGATCCCTGGATTCCCAGATTCCCGGATTCCCGGATTCCCGTCTCCCCCTCCCTCCAGGCCCGGGACCACCCCGGGATGCTGCCGAAGGATCCCGCGGGAAGGCGGGAATGCTGCCGGTTGCCATGGGAACGGCCATGGGGGGATTATCCCGGCTGCCGGCGGGATCGCGGGAATCCGGAGCGTTACGTAAGGCTGGGATCTGCCAGAGGGATCCACCAGAGGGATCCACCAGAGGGATCCAACAGAGGGATCCAACAGAGGGATCCACCAGAGGGATCCAACAGAGGGATCCTAGAGCCAGAGGGATCCAACAGAGGGATCCACCAGAGGGATCCTAGAGCCAGAGGGATCCAACAGAGGGATCCACCAGAGGGATCCAGGAGCCAGAGGGATCCAACAGAGGGATCCAACGGAGGGATCCAACAGAGGGATCCAACAGAGGGATCCTGGAGCCAGAGGGATCCGGCTGAGGGATCTGCCAGAAGGATCCTGTTGGAGGGATCTGGCTGGGGAATCCAGGAGCCAATGGGATTCAGCACAGGGATCTGACCTCGGGATCCAGCTGAGGGATCCAGCCGAGGGATCCAGGAGCCAAAGGGATTTGGCTGAGGGATCTGACCTCAGGAACCTGACAGAGGGATCCATCTGAGGGATCCTGGAGCCAGAGGGATCCATCTGAGGGATCCTGGAGCCAGAGGGATCCAGCTGAGGGATTCTGGAGCCAGAGGGATCCATCTGAGGGATCTGGGAGCCAGAGGGATCCACCTGAGGGATCTGGAGCCAGAGGGATCCAGCTGAGGGATCTGGGAGCCAGAGGGATCTGGCTGAGGGGTTCTGCCGTGGGATCCTCCTGTGAGGATCCTGTCATTGGGATCTGGCCAAAGGGATCCTGCCGTGGGATCCTGCCACTGGGGATGCCACAGGGTTGGGAAAGGGATCAGGGGTTGGGATCGGGGTTTGGGATTGGGGTTTGGGATCAGGGAAAGGGAATCACCCCCAAGGCCGCCTGTCCCCTCTCCCCCCTTTTGGGAAGCACAAAAACCTCGGGACACAAAAGAGCTTTTGGGATCGGGGTTTGGGATTGGGGATCCAGGTTTGGGATCGGGGTTTGGGATCGGGGTTTGGGATCGGGGTTTGGGATCGGGGTTTGGGATCGGGGTTTGGGATTGGGTTTGGAACCCAGGTTTGGGTTTGGGATTAGGATTGGGGTTTGGGATTGGGGTTTGGAATCCAGGTGTGGGATCGGGGTTTGGGATCGGGGTTTGGGATCGGGGTTTGGAATCAGGGTTTGGAATCCAGGTTTGAGATTGGGTTTGGAATCAGCCTTTGGAACCAGGCACTGGAACCAGGCACTGGAATCAGCCCAGCCTCTCCCCCCACCACGGGCATCTTTTCCCGAAATTCCAGCCGAAATTCCGAGGGGATTTGGGACCCTCCCGCAGCAATCCTTCCCCGCCGTTGCATCACGAGCCAAGCTTTTCCTTAACTTGGGATTTCCAGGATAAATCCCATCCCCCCCCCGCCTCCTTTTCCTTTCCCTCCTCCCTCCCTCGGCGCACCTGGAGAAATCCAGGTTATTCCAACCCTCCTCAACATCCAAACCCTCCCCGCTTAATTTATTGAAATAAATCAATTTTATTTAATTTTTTTTTTATATTTTTAATTTATTTTTTTTTGTCCCCTCGATTGGAAAAAATTCCCGCATTTTTTAATTATTTTTTTTTTTGGGGTCATTTCCCTCCCCCCTCCTCCTCCTCCTCCTCCTCCAGCACCTTTGGCGTCAGGACATTCCCGCAGCACCGCAGAAAAGGGGGAAAAATTAAAAAAAAAAATCACCGCTCACCTCATTTATCGGCCAAGGTTGTCAGGATTTCGGGCTGGAAAAAGGAAAAAAAAAAAAAAAATAGGAAAAAAAAATAATAAAATCCTGGAATTCCGCAGAATTCCCGATGGAAAAGCAGAGCAGGAGATGGACGAAGCGGTGGGAGGTTAAAATCCCGATTTTTTCCAGGCGTTTTGGAGGGGCGAGAGGGAGGAAACGCCTTCAGCAGCGCTTGCCCCCCTCCAAAAAATTCCCGGAATTCCTGGAATTGCCGAAATTGCGGAAATTGCTGCCCTTGGCGCTTGTCCCCCGCTCCATGGGGACGCGGGGGGGTTTGTCCTTGGAGCTGTCGCCATGGAAAGCCCCGAAATCCCTCCTGAGGGGGCGGGACAAGGACGTGATGGACAGCGGGAAGGGCCAATGGGAGCGGCGGGAGGGACAGGGGGACAGGAGGGGACAGGAGGGGATGGGGACAGGGATGGGACAGGGATGGGGATGGGGACAGAAGGGACAGGAGTGGTTGATAAGTGGTTGATAAGGACAGGGATGGGGACAGGGACAGGAGGGGACAGGAGAGGATGGGGACAGGGGGGGGACAGGGG